CGATCACGCCGTGCCAGGAGATGGATTGGATTTCTTATCAGCATTTTGAAATTGAGCCTTACGCTTTGTTTATCTTCTGCCGCTGAGCCTGGACTGATGATCCGTCAGGCTGCAGAACATTACGGAGCTAATGGCAGGGAGACGTCCCCTCTAAACATGCTCCGTAAAGGATGCCCGTCATTAGCTCATGTCATTAGTCTCAAACCAAGTGAAGATAATGTGCTCTGTACTTAACAAAATACAAATAACAGTGCAGGCCTCAGCAGAAAAAGACTTGCCACAGACTCTTCAGTAAAAATCTAAAAATGGTTCTGTATTAGAACAGAACAACTTGGGGTGTTCATACTTTTGCACACGACTGTATAGTCAGCTCTGTAAATATTGCCACCCTTGAAAAAAGGTGATGAAAAACAAAGTAATTAGCTCAGTTAGCTGAGCCTTGCGCTAATGTAAAAAAAAATCTAATTTTTAATTGAATAAATTTAGTCTAAGTAAATAAAAATACAAGAAAAAATATCAGTAGCATCTAGCAAATTTCAGGCGCTTATTTTAGTAGTTAGATAAAAAGGCTTTCTTCTTGCTCCCCTTTCAAATAGCCTGTTGCCATGGAGGCGTTGTCTAAATGTAGTTTTAGGATTTGGTGATCCCAAAATGCTACCATGTTCTGCAAATCCCCAACTGCGATTCTTAAAGAAATGTCCACCTGACAGCAGCAAAGACCAGCCATGCAGGTCATGTAAGGGGTAAGGCAGGATATTATTAGCTTTCCTTTCCTTTCCTTCAATATGACTTGGGTTATTCCAAGAACAAAATCTGCTGAAGCCTGCTTCCCAAACAGTGTGTCTGGAAGTTCATAGAAAGTCTGCATTATCTCCCTTTCAGCCCAGATGAATGTAGGATTAGAACCGTAGACCCTGCAGACTATCTTGGGAATGTGCATATGCATGAAGACTGGAGATTTAAATAGGACAAAAGGAAATTTAGCCTCGGTGTCACCTCACATTTATACCCCAGTGAAACAGGAGGTGCTGAACAATCAGATAGATTTAGGAAGGCGAAATAAAAAATAGGAACATGCATCAGTTATTTAGAATAGAATTTTTAGGGGTGCCAATAATTATGACATACATTTTTTGTTATCATTTTCTTTAAAAGGTTTTTAGTTTTTGAGTTCAGTTAAATGTTAGATTTTCTTAAGCCTTAAGTGTGAGCTTGAGCTATATATATGAGAAATGTAATTTTGTTCTGACAGCAGTGATATATATGATATATATATATACACACACACACACACACACATATATATATATATATATATATATATATATATATATACATACATACAAACCATTTACTGAAGATCCCCTGAAGAACCACTTTTTGATGCGTAGGAAATGAATTATGCATCAGTTTTGTAGACACTGAGTACTTAGTTTGATCTTAAAGCCCTCTCGATTGTTTGTATGCGGAGGATTACATTGTTTTTTCACGTTTCCTGCATGTCGCGATAGCGAAAGCTCCCTTATCAAGCCATTACTCAGAAAGTCAAAAGCAGTGTTTTCTCACCGGCATCTCACGATCTGGTAAACAACACATGCTATTGATATTTATAATCGGCCTCTTATCAACAGTGCTTTATTAGCCAGGCCTTCGAGAAGAAGCAGCAGAACGGGCTTTGAATGCGAATGGGCTCGCGGCTTTTACCACCTGGATGCACCTAAATCTTATTTGAGCCCCGTAATCCCTATAATCAAATTCATTATAAAACAATAAACCCCTTGTTCGGAGCATTAATCAGACCAAATCCCCTCGTTTTATCACTCGCAGCATGCTGGTGAATTTGAAAGGTCTTTAAGGTCGCTCTGTAATTTCATTGTTCCTGATACAGTAGCGAGTTCAGCGTGTCTGGTGGCAATAACTGTCTCGGAATCGATAGCTTTAATTTAATCTGAGGTCGGGGGACGGCGACCCTGAATGTTCTTTGGCTCCGTGGCGGGGGAGCCGTTTTTCTGGAGGTTTAATTTCATCCTTAGACAGAGAGCTTTTAGGAAGATTGCTCCAAGCCCTGTGGAGTGATGGACAGAGAAACACCAGCAGAGAACCAGAGAGAACCTAAATCATAGCTGGGACTAGGCAGAGCATTAAAGCAACAGTTCAACCAAAAAAAGATTTATACATTGTTCTCCTCAGCTGCAATCTTATGCCATAAAGGAAGCACTGTTGGTTCCCTAAAAGAACATTCAGAGGAAGGTGCTTTAGAGAAACATTTTTTTGTAAATGAGATGAACACATACTGTAAAGCTTGGGTAAAGAACGCTTAAATTGGTACAGAACCTTATGTGAAGCAAACCTTTTTTAAGCATGATTCTTTAGGGAATCAATAGTGACTTTTCACTCAAAGAACACTTTGTGTCTTTGTTTATATAGTGCAAATGTAGTCGGTCAGCCAAGACATCCTTGGTGTCTGAAATGTTGCACTGGAGCTAAAAGGCTAATGTAGCTAATAAGTTAAGGAACCATATACACAACTAGCATGGTGCTAACTACATGTCTAAATCACTCACCTCAAAGTGTGTGGAGTTGTTCAGTATCTCTAATATACTTGATTATGTGGTTTCGGACACTGTGTGACTCACTGTTACCTATAAACATGGACTAAAGTTACTGAACATACAAAAGCAATAGCAGCAGCCATCAACCGTGAATTTCATCCATACTTTGTCCATTTTCCAGATGTTTCTCTGAGCGTCTGATGATTTAAGGCCTCCGCAAACCATGAGCTTCACATAGTGTAGCGTGAAATTGTGTAGCAGATAGTACAAAGTGCAGCCATAGAATGAGGATGCCAATAATAATCAAGCTTATGTCCATTTTACACTCTACACTTCCCAACGTGCAAGAGAAAGTGCACAAGTTGGTAGATTTATTCATTTTTTGATGCGTTTGATAGGTTATTATTAAACTCTTATTTTTAAAAACCTCATATCTCTATTTTTGTCTCCATTTTTTTTTATTTTTGTTTTTCGGTTTTTGATTTGAAACATAAAAATGCCTGTTGCCCTTTACATTGTGTGCAGATTTCATGATGAATGGACCAAAAGAAACTGCCCAAAATTTCTTGGAAAAAGGTCTGGTCCCATTGACTTACATTACAAGTAATCATTTTGGAGATTGCCAACGTGATATGTTTGTTCTCTCATTGGCTGAGGTGGAGTGTTAGTAATTTTCTGGTGGTCCAAATGAAACATCCTCTCTGTCCAGCTTTGGCCTGTGAAGTGAATTTTGAGCAGCTCTGGTATAGATTTAAAGACCCCATACTGTGGAAAGCTGAACTCTCTTCACTGGAAATACAGCAGTCATATGTAAACCTTGCTAAGGTTTCAAAACAACAACTGTTCACCCGTCAGACCTTACAGTCCATATATGGAAACTAAACTATAAAACAACCTGTTTTTAACTTTTTTTCTAGAAAAAACAACATATTTGCATATATCTGCCTAATCAGCCTACAGCAATTTAGCTCTGCCCTCTCACACTTAAGTTATAAGGAGTATTTCAGCCCAAACTGCTTTTTGAATGAGGCACAGCCAGTCAGAACAGAGCTCATTTATATATTTCAGTCTTAAAGGCACAGTAACAGCCTATTCAAATGTAAGATATAATGAAAAATGTGGGGTATGGGCTTAATATAATAAATCTTGCAACATTATTCAACGAATTCATCACGTTTTGTATCAGCTAACTAACTATTAATAAACTCACTGTTTTCAAGATAAAAGAGACAAAGTGCAAAAAAAGACTACACTGAAAAGTTTGTTAAGTTGATTGGTTGACTTGAAAAAGTTAAGTAAATGTAGCTGTTATTTTCAAGTTATGTTTACTTATTCACTGTAAAATTTGATAAGTTGATCTTACTTATAAGAATCTGGAAAACTGGTTGCCTTGAAAAAGTTAGTAAATATAAGGATTATTTTTGAGTTATGTTAGGCTAATAACGTTAGCTGCCGTAACAGACCTTTAGCATTTGGATGTTTATCTTTAGTGTTTAGATGGTCTGTCTTTCTTGGGGTAAATTTCAATCATGTCACTGACTATCGATTTCTGTGGTCTGGTTCTGGGTTTGATTGAATGCACTGATAGGAAATGCTAAGTGATGCTTAGAGAAGTTGAACAGAGCTGGAATTCACCATGTGGCAAAACATGTTGGCACCGAAAGTCAGTGTAAGTCTGTGCACTTTTAATAAATGAACGGTTTTTATTTTTTGGGCACTGGACAATTCATCTGGTGTAGCTCTTAGCAATGCCGTTAGCCGTGTTAATTGGTGGGATAGATGCTTATATTACTTGTTAGCTACATTAGCCTTGTAGCTTCAGTGTTAAAAGTAAAGGAACTTACTTCAGACCCCAAACATGTCTGGCTGACTGACTACATTTTGGGTAAGGGTAGAATGGTGATCTCATTTCAGCTGATAGGATTGTCACTGATATAAAACCCACCTGGATCTACACAGACATGTTTGGTTCATCCCAGCTCACTGAAATCCTCCAAAAAAAGCCGCAACCATGCACATATCAAAAGGCAGAGGAGCCAGTAGATAAAATGTTATTTCGTCACCTGTTTACATGTCAGTGTGCTGAAGATTTACTGAATTGAAATGGCTGTTGAGATGAAAAACAGGCCTTTTTTTGCCTTTTTACAGTCAGAGACAGTAATGTGTCATTTTTGTTGTGTTGTTTACCTACCTGGTGGCAGGACATTACCGCAGTGTTGCATAAATTTGTCCTAATCCTCCCTCCCCACACCCTATTTGATTCTGTTTGATGTTTTGGGTTAAGATCATTCCTGTCAGCTCCATAACCCCAGATTTTAGTGCAATAAATCAGGATAACGCTGGCTGACAGCATCTGGAGCGCTATGTGAAGATGTTATGCAGTCGTATTGAGGCAGCTGCTGGATGATGGTGGGATAATATGACTTTTCTCTGCTTTCATTTATCAAGGCTGATCATCAGCCCTGGCCTGAAGGAGGGAGGAGCAGGGGATTTGCTTGACAGGCCTCAAAACGCGTGAGGGAACCTATGGCACAGCAGCAGCACAGTACAGGTAAACCTTCACAAGATTGCTCAAACTGAAAGTGATAAAAAAAATATGTACTGGCAAGTGCGTAATAAACTTCAGTGTTAATGAGCGAAGCTAAGCTGCTGTAGGCTGAATAGGTGGATAAATTGAAATGTACCATCACAAAAATGTTACATTCTGAAACCTTTGCAGAGTTCACATACAACAGTTAAGCTAATTTTAGTTTAATTATTTTAGCAAAAATGGGTGAGGAAGATATGCCTTTCCATGATATCAGACTATTAATACTTATATATCGGCATCGGCCCACAATTTCCCACTTAGGCACATTCTTAAATAACGATACAAACCTCATTTCAAAGCAAGGATTTTGAACTTTATGCTGGTAACATTCATTTCCATAATCTAAAAGGTTGACTTATTAGACCACAATACATATTTCCAGTATGCATGTGTCCATTTCAGGTTAGTTCCAGAGAAGTTGTTATTGACATACAGCTTCCACTGTTCCTAATGCAGTCTTAATGCAGTATTTGTGGATGCAGTGATGAACTGTGTTTATTGACAACGGTTTGTCAAAGTTCTCCCGAGCCCATGTGGTGATTACCATGACAGAAATTTGCAGGTTTTCAATGCAGTGCTGTTTGAAGGACTGAAGGTCACAGTGGTTTTTGGCCTTACTCTTTACGCACTGTAGAAGGTAAAATACCTAAAATTCTCAATCCTCGCTTATAGAGAAATAATGGGCTTCGTTCGCCAATATCAATATCAATGCCATTCTTAAATGTGTTCTTGAGAAATGTCCTAAGAAAAAGTCTACATCAGATTCATGACTTGTTCTTAAAGCACAGAACTGTTCACACCTTTGTGCTCTTGAGTGCGTGTAGATTCTGTTCTTACCTACAAACAATGAGGCCCATTTTTCTTAAACTGTTGGATTATTTGCTGACACATTTTTGGGCAAAGTGGTGAGCCTTGACCCATCACGGTCAAGTCTAGGCCTGTGCTGGAAGCTCTTTTTATAACCTTCACCTGTTTAAGATGTTTTTTGAACATTTTGCAAGGTTCCTACTCTTAAAATGTCCCAATTTTTTTAGAAAGTGTTGCAGACATCAATTTCAGAATAAGCATATATTTCAATGTAAATACAAAGCATATATCAGTGAAGTTGATAAGACAAAACATAAAATATCTCGTCTTTCTACCATACTTTACAAATTTCTGTTTTTATTTGCATTTCACATACTGTCCCAACTTTTTTGGATGTTTGTAATATTAAGCACACTTGATTGAGTTCATCAGCTCATTACCTTGCCCTTGGTGAGTTGATTTGGCTGTTGGTGGAGGGAAAAGGTTAAATCTCTGTAGTTTTATGCAGCGTTTTTGGTTTTTCATGGCCTCAGTTTGACGGTACAGCTCTAAAGCATTCCTCTGCAGTGTGCTGTGTGACAGTGAGGGGATCACGGCTGGGTCTTTGGAGCGTTTTCTCTTTTACAGTTCAGCACTTCCAGCAGCGCAGCATGGTGGTGGTTTGTTATTTCTAAAAGACTGTCCTGGGGCGTGCTTGAGGAAGGTGGTGCAGGATCCAGCAGCTGCTTTAAAGCCCTCCTCTAACCACCCGTCTCCCAACCCTGCCCCCCCGCAGGTCTGCACTCATTCAGAGTCTGAGGGCCGTTTCTGCTCAGCTCCTGCAGGATTGTGGGGGGATTTTCTCTGACCCTGACCATAGCAAATCAGATATATGGGCCCCTGCTGCTCCACAGGCCAGGCAGGGGTAAGGAGGCCAGCCGTTAAACGGAAGAAACTGCTCTTGATCACAGGAGATTTAGGGGTCAGAAACAGCTGGACTTTGAGAACAGCTGCCCACGGGTTTTGGGGTCGGTATGTTTAACCGCTGTGGGCAGCAAAATTAAATTCTGTTAAATAAGTGTGCATATTGTGCTTTTTTCTTGTATTCAATTTCTTTATACTTATGACGTTTGTGTGGGTTTATGTACCAAAATGAGTCATAGTGTGTTTTTATATCTTAAAATTAAACTGTTTTTTTGTTACTGTGCATTTAAAATGCGTATATGTAAATTAAAATTTGGCTTGGCTACAATCCAAAACTGAAACACTCCATATAACCTCAGTGTGAAAGGGTGGGGCTAAACTACATTAGGCTGAATGATCAGGTATATATAACTGTGTTGGGTTTTGTGACACCATAAAAACAATTAATTCAAAATGGGATATTTTTATAGCTTTTTTAAAATTATTTGTGTATTATGAAATGGTTAAGATATAATTAAAGTCTTTCTTAATGGTTCAATTGAAGTGTTCCATTCTAGAGACTCAGGATTGTTCACAGTGGTGGTGATAGGAACCAGACATCCACCTCTAAAAGCTCCCTCACAGAAAGTTACTACATGAAATGGTTATGCCTGATGTCTAATACATTGTTTTATGAACGTTTTGAGAAGATTTTGTCTTAAAATGTGTATTTTAAAACCTGCTCATGGTGCAGGCATACATGTTGGGCATTTTAAGGCAAAATTGGCCAAAAAATCATTTCCAATTTTCCACTATCCACTCCATCATTAGCATTCCATATAAAACTCAGGAGACGTGTAGGTTCACTGGTGGTTGTGGACAGTAAATAAAATGTCTATATTTCTGTTGTAGTCATGACGACTCGTGGTTACTATCACCACCACCATAGAGAAAGACAGTTTACATCGCAAGATTAAAAATCCTTTGCTCAATGGAATGTTTGCAGTTTAGCCGTAGCAAGTGTGAGATGTCATTAGGCTGGTACAGTTTATGTTCTGCAGTGACCTAATCACCACCACACATCATGAAACAAACACAGGAGGCTCTAATTAGGCTGAATTTCACCTGTCAGGTTTTAGCCTATTAACAAAGCTAGAAGCAGCACCTGCTCGGGATCTCCTGGCAGCGACAACAGTCAGAAGAAGAAACAGTCATTAAAGGAAAGCACTGCAGATCAGGCATATGGAGAAAAGCATTTCCACAGAGAAGCACTGATAGAAAGGAAGAGATAGTGAAATAAGAACCTCCGCAGTGAAATCTGGGGGACGAGAAAGCATTTCAAACATAAGTCTGTAATTTTCTACAAGTTAATCAAATATTTACAAAGACGTGACAGGTTTAGTATTTCCTGCCGGCTGCCTTCGGCTGCGGCGCATTCATCCAGATACAGTCCCTCCACTTCACTCCACAGGGAAATTAGCATAGATCCCAGCGTTGCTGCGGAAGTCACTGCAGCTGGACTTGTCGAGACTACTGCTCGAAAAGTTCGCATAATGACTTTAAAAAATGTATGAAAAGAAAACTTTATGAATAAAAAAGCTTTTAACAATCACTCTGCACACTTTTGTTCTGACTGTTTGTGGCAGGTCTCTCAAACCACTTGAGTCCAGGCCTTTAATTTGACGTTTGTTACTGACCTCAGCAGATATAACAGTCAGGCTGAACAAGCAGCCTCTGAGTCTGATCAGGATAACTAGCTCTGCACTAAATCTGCTAGCACAGATGAAAAGACTGGTCAGAAGGAGAGGGCAGATGCAGTTGAAGGGTTGAAATCTCATACTTCTACTGTAAATAGTGCACTTAAACAGCACTGCAGGAAAATTAGAGTGTCCAGAATCAAGTACTACATACTGCACGCTCATTCTAGAGTGCTATTTTGGCATACTATTTAGAGTAGAGGCAAAGATAACACTTTATAATAAACAGCAACATTATTATCTAATATTTTCCTATTGACTGTCAATAATTATGTAACTATGCATTGATAAATGGTGTCATTTGAATTATTAGCCATTTACTATGTGATATTCAGTTCTTATTTTGTTTTGTCAAAACCTAATCATTAATTATAGTAATGATTCAATAATATCAATAATGATTTGCTTAATTAATACTTATAAACCTAAAAATAAACAATTTATTTAGTTACATGAAAACAATTTGTAATCAGTATGAATTAACACTTTGTAATTGTCCACATTCTGTTTTAAATGATTCAGTTGTTATTTATTATCTTGCTACTTTGTAATTAAGTATCTTGAGAAAGTATCTTGTACTTTCTAATTGAGTACTACTGAGTACTTAATGAGTACTCAATAGTACTCAATCACTGTTAAGTGGTTAATATACACCGACCAACCACTTCATTAAGTCCACCTCCTTGTATCTCCACCCACTGCTCCACTGGCCATATAGGTGCACTTTGTTGTTCTACAGTTACAGACTGTAGTCCATCTACTTCTCTGCATACTTTGTTACCCTTTTCTTCCATGGTCAGCACCCCCACAGGACCTCCACAGAGGAATTATTTGGGAGCCGGGTCATTCTCAGCACTGCAGTGACACTGACATGGTGGTGATGTTAGTGTATGTTGCGCTGGTGTGAGTGGATCCGACACAGCAGTGCTGTTAGAGTTTTTAAACACTGTGTCCACTCACTGTCCACTCTATTAGACACTCCTACCTTGTCAGTCCACCTTGTAGATGTAAAGTCAGAGACGACTGCTCATCTGCTGCTGCACAGTTTGCGTTGGTCATCCTTTAGTCCTTCATCAGTAGTCACAGGACGCTGCCCACAGGACACTGTTGGCTGGATGTTTTTGGTTCTCAGTCCAGCAGTGACACTGGGGTTTTTTAAAAACTCCAGTAGCACTACCGTGTCTGATCCACTCGCACCAGCACAACACACTAACATCAATGTTGCTGCAGTGCTGAGAATGACCCACCACCCAAATAATACCTGCTCTGTGGGGGTCCTGACCATTGAAGAACAGGGTAACAAAGTATACAGAGAAAAGGGTGGACTACAGTCTGTAAAGTGCTCCTATATGGTCAGTGGAGTTGATAAAATGAGTGTAGGTACTTGAGATGTAGATACTTGTAGGTGTACTTAATGAAGTGAGTGGGCAGTGTACACTTTTTGAGCGTTAATATATAAATAATTATCTTTTTTGCATGTGAGTAAATGGTTAATCATCAAAATTGTAGCCCTCA